TAAGTGTCTTGCTCAAGGACACATCGACATGCGACTAGCAGAGCCGGAGCCGGGGATTGAACTGCCGACCCTCTGATTGAAAGATCCTCTGATTGAAAGACATCTGATGTCGGGCAGTCGCCCGATGTCTTCACAGCTGTTGGATGGATGACCACTACATTTAGAACAGACATTGGTGTTCCCCTCAGGATGGATTTTAATAACTCTGCTGATCCTCTGAAATATCAATCCGTCCAATAATTTGATATAAGTAGTTAATTATTGCATGCTAACTCACTTAACTACAGTGGTGAACAGAATACTAGGAATCAGCATGTTAGCATTGTCATTGAACTCCTATTTGAATCAATCAGTCTTCACAGGCCTTGTTCTACCCACGCTTTATGCACTTCAACACAGTTTTACACTTCCAGGGTGTTTATTCTGTTTTACATGTGCAACTACAGTCATTGTGTGTTCTGCTCTGAGCACTGCCAATATGAAGCTCGGCTCTCTCTCTCTATGCCTATTGTTGAGTTTCACTGTTGTAATAAAATGTAATTTCATAAACAACACAGACACTGTGTGGTTTTCTCTGCACACCTGGACAGCTTAACACACGAATACTTAGTAACCTAGTACCATTATGCATTTATTAGGTTTCTGAAGGCATGACTTTAGGCTTTCCCACCGTGTTTTAAACAGCTAACATCAGAAGATTCTAAGGTGTTTGTGAAATATGATATTAGCCTCATTAAGCTTCATAGAAAGAGAGCAGTGGTGCCAGATATTTAAAGAGTTAGCCGGCATTTTAAATAGCCTTTAATAACTTTTTGATATTATATATTGATAACGACATTAGGTGTGTCAGGACTACAAACACATGCAAACTCTGGAGGCATTGAGTAAACCAACCGAAGCGCCTTCTCCAAGAGAACCGTAGCTCACTGAGACTGAGAACATAATCTACAACGACAGAAAACTAAACTAAATGCTTCATGAGAATAAGGAAACTAATAAAGAAAATAATCAACAGCAGCTATTTCATCAAATCAACAAAAAGCAACACAGCTCAGACAGTCCACCATGCTGACATAATGTTACACACTGGAATCACATTCTGTTGGACTGCTTGAAAAGAACAGAAACACTCCATTAACACCGTAGGAAGAGGTGGTACAGAGACAGGAAGTGAGTCATTTCCAGTTGACGTGGCTGCATTTAGGTTTTTCAATCCTACGCTGCAGAAAACAGACTACGAACAAGACAACATGTCATGTTAAGATGGAAGTTCATTTAAAGCATAGCACACAATGTACTCACAGTTCCACTCTGGAGCCAGTCTATGAGGGTCTGTGCTGTTTCTGAAGGTAACTGAGCTCTGAGGCCGTGCCTCTCGTCCTGGTTGGGTTGGAGCTCCAGGGCAAGTTTGAGGTCCTCAGCCAACTGAACGACCTGCAGAGGAGCAGCGCTGACGGGAGAAGCCGGGTCATACATGCTGTTAGAGAACTCCACCGCTGCTGCTTTCGAACCTGGAGAGTGTGTAGAAGGGGAGGCACAGAAACATTATTAATACCATTATTCAAAACTGAAACATGACTGCAACACAAGTGTATTAGCAGCCTGCAGCTTTGAAAGCTAGGAGAGCAGAATCTATCCTGAATGTTTCCAAAAGGTCCATGTGTCACCTGGATCATTTCCCTGGCACTCACACACACATCTGGAGGCACTCAGATAACTGAGAGTCTGAAAAACCACCACACATCACAGTTCATAAAGTATGTGGAGTCCAAAAACAGCACATAATGAGAGCAACCTATGCTTGAATATCTTTATGCAGCTTCTGTGCAACAGAGCCTCGGAGTAAGAGAAGAAGTGAAAGATATAAATCACGAGGACAAATGTTATCACTGTACACTTGACATAGTCCAAGGAAAGACCATCTACCCCTGACCTGATAGGAAGGATACATGAACATTCTTCACTATTACATTATATTCAAACATAACTTCAGGCATGAGTGTATGCTAGAGCTGAAACCATTGATTGATTAGTTGTCAATTATTAAATTAATTTAAGTCATTTTGTAAAGAAAAAGTGACAGAAAAAAGATAAATGTGAATATTTTCTGGTTTCTTAATTTGTCGGTGATGTGAACTGAATATTTTCTTTGGATAACACAGATTCTTCAACATCTTCGCACATTTTATAGACCAAATAACTCAAAATCAACAGATTAATCATCAATGAAAATAATCGTCAGTTGCCGTGTATAAAATATGAATACAGAATCAAACATCCATCCACGCAGTGTATGTGGGCCACAGCACACATTATTCACACACTGTCAACTCAGTGTAGATACACACTACATCACCTGCTCAAGCACAGGTATAACTTCTACAGCAGCAGCACAAGTTATCATTTATTGATATTGTTCAGGTGTGAGTGTCAGGTTCGGAGATCTGTTGTACATTTATGACACGATACTGTGATTACTTTATTATTTGTTACACTGGGAGGTCAACCGTGCTGACAGTTGTCTAAAGTAAGAAAGTTAAGGTATCCTTATGTAGATGGTAAATGGACTGTTTAGTTCTTTTCTAGTCTCTTGACCACTCAAAGCACTTTAGCACTACATGTCACATTGCAGTCACACAACAGTAGATGGTAGCATTATTTCAATGAGATCAACAACAACACCAGTATCAGTCCTTAACCAGCGGAGTGTGTCCACTAGTGTTCCCACAAGGTCCTCAACCAGAGAGAAAGAACTGTTGATCATGGAAAGCAATAAGACAAACATATCTAAATGCTGTTGATAAGTGTCTCTAATTTCCTTGTCAGTGATTGGCTGATGTTATCACAAATGGGATTGTTAATGTATTTCTATTTGTGTTCCCTGAGAGCCGGAAAAACAAACTCAGAGCACTCAATGAGGTCAGCATGTTTGGGGCAAACAGCAGCAATGAGCTTCAGATATGACAGTAATAGCTGTACAGCCTCTTTGTTCACTTGAGTTCTACAGGAGGAGGTGGTACAGTAAGTTGATTCTGAGGGTGAGATGAAGCAGGAAATGAATGAGAGCTTTGTCATTTTGAGGAATTCACAGTAACCCAAAGTCCCATTCTCTGTCTCTCTACGTTCTTTTGGTTGAAAAGGTAACTTGCTCTGCTCCTTTATTTCCCCACATACCATCAGTGGACCACGTTCAACATGTTCCCCTCTGTTAGTGACCCTAGTTACACTAAAGAAAGCACAAACACATGAGTACAACACACACACAATCACACATATTACCACAGACAACGAGGCAGTGTCACAGCTGGAGAGCACTATTTTATCACTTATTAACTGGGGTTAATTAGGGTCAACAAGTTATAGAACTCCATATTTAAAAAACATACAGCCTTATAAATATGCATAGAGACAAAACTGAAGAAAAGACTACAGCTAAGCCCCAATTCCATTCTCCATATGAATTATGATTTCGTACATAATATGTTGTCATTAAAGAACATAAGCCGGTCAACTCACATCCTTAAACCCTTGGATTTTTGACTGACACTATCCTACAATTCAACATACAAAAAAAGCTGTCATTACGTTTTGATATTTTTTCAGGTGAGAAGGTAACTATTTAGATTCCCAATATGTGATCACTGTTTACTTCACTCTCTAGATAAAGTGATGTTTACAAATGATGCTCATATATCCTCCTCAGTCACTGATGGATGTGGTGCTGTGTAACCATCCAATCACTTCAGTGGAGCTGCTGAATGGTTTTAAATACCATTCACTGTTTACCTCGCTACTAACGCTAAACCACAGAACAAACACAAGTTGATCAATGACATAAAAATGGCCTGAAATCCCAAATGAGGGATTCATAACTTTGTGGTGTCTCTTGTAGATAGGTCCTCTATGAGGAGATACAAAAGCACCGGAGCATCAGTACAACTGCCAGTCGCACTCAGCAGATAAAGGCACATCTGTCAGTGTTTCAGTAACTACTTGCACTGCCAGAAGGGTGGACACAAGTCCACACAGGGAGTAGCAATGTATAGATATCAGTTTATCTAGAGAGAGACCTAATCCAACCTGTCTGGCTAGCTAGCTATCCAGCTACAGCCAAATTAGATTTGTATCATCATTATTTTGTTATACACCGCGGTTAAACATGCAGTGAGAGTAATTACAAAAACACTGTCACATTCTGTAGCCAAACGCTCTCACACAGCCAGCAGCTTCTCACAGCTCCAAATATGTTGCTAATTATCCAATTTGCAACTGGTGTGTGATGTGTCATCATAGTTGACGATACAAGGTTGTTCACACCCTCGTCTTTATCTGAGGGGGACCATTTGTGGTGCAAGCACAACTTAAGAAGAACAGGGAACAAGATAGCAGAGTGCTGGTACCTTTTGTACTGACTGTTGTTTGTGAGGCTTATTGTTACATCTTTATCTTATATACTGTTGAGGCTAGGGTGCATTTTAAACTCTGATCCTCCTATTTACTTCTATATACTTGGCATATTAATGCATTCCACTAATCAACAATTGCAAGGCTTCTATTGTGAGGCAGTTACAGCTTCCTGGAAGCAAGTGAGGAACGTCCGCAACTACTGACTGTGGTGTGTAAAAATGGGTTTGAATGCAGAACTTTTCCAGCATTGTTTCTTCAGTGAAAGATAAAACAACCTCAGTGAGCTGATCAGATGAAGACGTGCACACAACATTAAAGCATCGAGACTCCAAGGCGATGTGGGGTCCAGGAACAAATCACTGGCACATACGTTGGGATTGTCCAGTGATAAACCCTTTCTGGGCAGAGTTTCACAAAGCATTAGAACTCATACTTAACACTGACCTGCCCCTGCAATTTTCCACAGTATTTTTTAAGAAAAGTTGATTTTCAAGCAAGGCGTCCAGATAAACACATATTTTTCATTTTCATAACGCACTGGTTGCTTCCTGAACCCCCACGATTCAGGAGTGGATAGATATAGTATATTACATTTATGTTATGGAAAGGATTACTTTTTCCCTTTGTCTTCAGAAAAGGGTATTCATTCAACTGTGGAACAAGTGGTGAGATATGTAAAACCCTTACAGACAGATTCAACCTCTATTCCACTCTCTCTCAAGTCCCCCCTGTCTGACATTTGTCATTGTTTGTGTGTAAACTCTGCCTCTCCCAAAATGTACAAAGTTACCCAATTTTGAAAAATTGTGAGCAGCATATATTGAATATTGCTCCTTTGCTGATGTATGTTTTGTAATCTAAGCTACTGTCAAAAAATAAAGAATTACAAAAAAAAACATCAAGACTCCACAGTGTCAGACTCCACAGTGTCAGACTCCACAGTGTCAGACTCCACAGTGTCAGCATGGTAGGTGACAATATTTACTGGCATTCTTTACTAATCCCTCTGGGGAAGTCTATTATTTGTAAGAAAAATCAGTGAAGTTCTGTTAAGTTTTAGCCCCACACCATCTCGGACCCACCATGTTCTCAACACCAGATATGTACATCCATACTTCTGAAGCGGAAGGAAACCCAGGAAGATCAAACTGCTCTGAGGAATCAGTCAGTTGTATTGTAAAGAACATTTCTCCAAGATTTCTAAGTGCACAAACTGGTAACAGTTAGGTTCTCAAAGCAAAACCATAATAGTCATAAAGTGTAAGCAGCATTATTATATAGTAAGTAATTGGAGCATAGTACTGTCAGAGACTACAAGCCTCTCCAGTGACACATTCAGCTGCTTCTTACAGCAAAACAGACAGAATTTGACTCATTGACCAACTGACCAACCAAACGACGGTGTAATCTGCAGAGCACTGTGCTCTCTGATGGACAGAGAAGCATCTTTGTGGACAGATATTAGTTGCTGGGCTACTCATTCTGATAGTAGAGGATAGACCTGAGCATGTGAGTTCCACTCACCCACACATCTCACTCAAGATACCACAACGAGTATTGACAATTTGTCAAGATGAAAACCGCATTTTTCAGTAACTCCAATGTCAGAAAGATTGGACTGAGCTATTACCTGCAATGATGTCATCCATCTGCTCCAGTGCAGCCTCCAGCATATGACTGGCCTCCGTTTCCATGGTGATGGCGGGAAGCATCAGCTCTCAGGTCTTCTGGTGTTCTGTAGAAAAAAAACATTAGATTTAACAGAACCAGACAGGTTTACACTAGAGAGAACCTAAGAAACAGAACCATGACAGGT